TTCATGAAAAGAAGAGTCAGTCAATGCAACAAACTTCATTGTTGTCTGATTTTAAGAAATTGCTCTAGCTATCCCAACCTTCAGTAACCACCACTCTGATCAGTCAGCCGTAACTAGCGTGGAAGCATAACACTCCACCAGCAAAAAGATTACAACTTGCCGAAGGCTCAGATTATGGTTAATAACTTTTTAGCAATAAAGTATTTTAATTAAGGTATGTACATTAAAACATAACACTATTATATACTTAATAGGTTATAGCATAATGTAAACATAATTTTTAAAAGGACTGGGAAACCAAAAAATTGTGTGATTCTCTTTTTTTCTTTCTTGTAGTGGTCTGGAGCAGAACCAGCAATATCTCTAAGGCATGCCTGTAATTTCAAGAGTCACCTAATTGGTCTCTGTGCCTCAAGACTCTGCCTTCTTCCCATCCTCAACACAGTTGCCAAATTGATATCCTAACACACTGTTAGGAACTTGTCATACCCCCACTCAAAATGCCCTAGACCTTTTTTTTCTATCCTTTCTATGCTTATTGCATATTCTTCTCTTCCATATATATTTACCTTCCAAATAAATTGCCATACCTGCTGTCCTCAGAACAAATATGCCATATCTTACCTCTGTATCTTTGCTCAGGGTCTACCACGCCTGTAATGTACTTTCTCCTCTCTGCCACCTTAAAGAATTCTTAGTTTCCTTTTAGGTTCATATAAGTTGCCATTGTCTACCTCAAGCCTTTCAAAATTCACTACTCGAATATTGTACTCCCCTTGTCCAGGATCTTTGAATCTATTTAATTCTTTGTTTCTTGGTTTCTTTCTTTTTTTTTTCACCTATTTCATTTTCAAAGGTACAGATGCTTTTCTCTTGATGTAAACTTTTTCATATATCTTCATCCCCCCCTTTACACAGTAGGTACTTTGACAAATATGTGTTGCATAAAAAAATTATGGGTGATTTTAATGGGTGCAGTAAACATTTTATATCAATTAATTTTATTATATAACAAATATGGGAGAAAGGAGGAGGTAAATTATTTTCTCCTTTCAGGCACTCATTAAAAGCATACCTGGATACCTTAATACCCTGCTACCATAATGTTTATGCGATTAGAAGTTGCTGTGGATTTGAGTTATATATCAGAATACCATTTGTTAAGTCTGAGCAGAGCCAGGGGCTAGCAATGAACATTTGTTGTTGTGGCGGTATTGAGTTCAACTCCTAATGACCCCATCTGGAGTTTTCTTGGCAAAGACACTGGAGTAGTTTGCCATTTCCTTCTCTGGCTCATTTCACAGATGAGAGAAACTGAGGCAAACAGGGTTACATGACTTGCCCATGGTTAAACAGTTAGTAAGCATGTAAGGCTGGATTTAAACTCCTTACTCCAGGATGAGTGCTCTCTCCACTGTGCAACATAGCTGCCCCATAAATATTTATATCATGGCTATGATATGCCGGGTACCATGTTAAACACTTTATACTAATATTATCTCATTCAATCCCCAAATAACCCTGTGAAGTTGGTGATGTTATTATCCCTACTCTACAGGTGAGGAAACTGAGGCAGACAGAGGTTAAGTGACTTGCCCAGAATCACGCAACTAGTAAGTGTCTGAGGCTGAATGTGAATTTAATTCTTCCTGTCTCCAGGCCCAGGGCTTTATATGCTGTTACACAAGCTGAAAACATTTTTCAAGGTTGTTCTCTGCAAGCATGTTTTAATTGAAATTACATTTTCTTCAGATAATTTGCTTTGGTCTGGATGTAGTAGGACAGTCATTGGTAGATAAATTTCCATAGACTTTGTCCGTGCAGACTGTTGGTCCATTTGATAAAATGTCCTGACATTTCCGAAACAGAAAAAGGGGCATTAAAACTCAGGTATATACTTAAATTTCACTTAGCAATTTTATACATTAATTTGTGCTTACCCAAAGGATATTTGAAAAATTATAAACCTTGGTTATTAAAAGTTATTAATGCAAGGTAGTTTTATTAAACCACACTAGTATTTCATACTTTCTAAAAGACATTCTTCCTTTGCTACTTGCAGAAGTAAGTGGATCCTTCAGGTCATCTTGGCATTACACCAACCAGCCATTTTACTGCCTGTTCAATTGTTGTTTTTATTGTTTCCATTGTAGGCTCTCAAACACTGGCAATGAGCTCAGGCAGAGGTAAGGTTTTCCCTTAACCAAACGAGCAGCTTGCCAAATAACTCCTCCACTGCATTCTAGTGATATTTGCCAATTCTTGACTTAGAAATTTTGTTTCGAAGCAGGGGAGGAGGAAAATATTCCTGAGTTATAGATGATTTATTTTCCATACATTGACATGTTTATATTTGGAAAATGCAAATAAACAACATTCTGTCATTTAATATCTTTTTGACATGATCCAAGAGATTTAACCTCTCAGTGCCTCAGTTTCCTCATTTGTCAAATAAGAAGGTACACAGAAGATATAGACTGGACACATTGGAGATAACCCACTGAAGTAGTCTGCCATTTCCTTCTTTAGTTTATTTTACAGAAGAGGAAACTAAGACAAACAGGGTTAAATGACTTGCCTAGGGTCACACAGTTAGTAAGTGTCTGAGGTCAGATTTAAACACAGGAAGATGAATTTTCCTGACTTCAGGCATGGTACTCTATCCTGTGCCACCTAGTTGCATGTAACTGATATTAATGGCAACCAATGAATGCTTCTCAGAGGTAAGATGCTACATGAAACTTGAAGGAAGCCAGGGAAGCCAGGGAATGGAGATGAAGAGGAAGACAATTCCAGGCATGGGAGACACCCATTGCAAATTGCACTGAGCCTGGAGGTTCAGTGTCCTTTGCTGTGTGAGGAACATTAGGAAGGCCAGTGTCGCTGACTTGATGAATATGGGAGCAGGGGAAGAGTAAGGTAGACTAGACAGCTTAAAAGGGATAAGGTTATAGTGATTCACTGGAGTTTTATTGAAGGAAGTGGGGTGAGGATGGGGATGATATGGTGTTCACTTTGTCAATTAAATGGAGATTGTCCTGAAGTGGGGAAACTTGAGGTAAGGTGAACAACCAGAAGTCTCTTCTGTTGACCCAAGATTAATTTGTTTTTGTTGCTGATGTTGTTATTTCACTATGGCACACTGCTTCCTTCAGAGATGTAAAATATAAATTCTAGGACAATGGCTAAGTGAGAGATCATGCACAAAGCTGGCTTCCTCAAAACCCTCTCTTAAATGGAGCAATCACAATATCAGGGCACAAAACTTTCAAGATTCCTCAAATGAAATCTTGAACATGACTCAGATTCAATGAAATGAGAAAATTAAAATGAGATTGGTAAAATAAATCAATGAAATTAAAGAATCAGGGGTAGAAAATAATGCAAATCAAGAAAAGAAATTTCCTGAGAAAAAAATTTAACAGTGATGTCATAAGAAACAAACTTTGAATTTTCTCAAGTAGCCAAAAGGGAAAAAAAGTTATTGCAAGAGTTGAAGAGAAGAAAAGGGAATTAAATTATTTAGGGATTAAATACAGAAAGAACAACTATGAATCTTAGGTCCAGATGATTATAATGCCCTTTGTTTTAGAAATGTCAGTGGAGAAATAAAAAATATGCATGTTTTGATTAAAAATATAATTGTTTCACTACAGAAAGGTGGAAGGAGGAGGAAAAAAAAACATACCTAGGGATTATTGTATTGGACAAAGACCTCAAAGCAATATAGACAAAAATTATGGATCCAGGTGACAGAATATAGTGACAACTTGGGAATTGGATTAGCTTCCCAAAAAAAGGAAACTTTGAAAAAGAAAAAAAAAATTTAACCCCTGTATTTTAAGAAACCATGAAGGAAGTTTCATGCAGATATTGGGAAATAAAGGAGAAAAATCATAAGACATCAAAGATGGTAATTCTGACACTCAAATAATCAAGTGACATCATTATTAATTTTCAAAACTTTAAGAGGAAATGATGCTATTAACAACCAAGAAGAAAGGCATTGCATATTAAAATAAAAGTTGAGTTTCATTAAATATTTCTACCAAAATGTCTATGAAGCTGGGATATTATATACCGAAATTTATGAGATCATTTGTTATAGAATGTGTTCCTATAGAAGCCATCTAAGATCTCTTCCAACTGTAATCTTAGAATTAGGAGAATCTTTTGTCTGAAAATTAGCTTGCCAGATAGTTTTCATTTTGAGGGGGGAAAATGGACATTTAAAAATGAAAATGTATTTAATGAGTTTTGGTAGAGAAAAGTCAAATCTGATATAAAAAGAAAAAAAGGTCATTGACAAGATTACAAAAATCACAATTCATTAATATACTGCCAACAGTAAGAACAGTTCATTTCAAAAGATGCACATAAATATAAGATGGTAGAATAAAGTAATATTTATTGTTTCAACTTACCTGCATAAATTCAAGTTACAATGACATTTGAAAAAAATTAAATTTAAATACTGAATTTCTTTTAAAAAATTGAATTAAATTGTGTTTAATGGTATCATTGACAAGAGTATATCAATATTAAACATTCTGTTGCTTTGGCCAAAGTAATCAAATCAATAACCTCGTTCCTTCTAGAAAGGGTGTGACAAGTGACCAGCCATACATCAACTCCTTATCTTCATGACTCCGTAAATTAAAACTTCCTTTGCTGACTATAACTCCCTTATATGGCTTCTATTCCCCTATAAGAATCTAATATCTTTTGAGCCAAGGACTGACTCTCTCTCTCTCTCTCTCTCTTCATATTTGTATTCCCTTGTTTTCATTGTGGTGCTGAGGACAGAGTACTTATACATTCTTTCATTTGGTCAATTGGTCATAATGACATGACAACTAAATTTATAACAAAAATCATTCAGTAAACATTTATTGACTATTCGCTATGTTCAAATCACTGTGTTAAGTGCAGGGTATATATTTGCATCATGTTTTATTCTTTACAGTTTTTCAATCATCTTTATTCAGTCATTAATGCTGCTACCATATGAAGGAGCATACTTCTGTGAGTCTTGCCTTTCCTCCAGTAGGCTGACAGAGCACAGTGGAGCATCCCACACAGAGAACCACTGTTTGTGCATGGCTGAAGACAGTGGGGATTTTATAGTACTCCGGGCACTTTACATCCATGAAATACAAGTTCGGACTCTGCACCAGGCACTTCTTCTTGGGTTTATGCTTCTTCTTGGGAAAGAGGTGCAGGAGGTCTTTTGCGAGAGGCATGTTGGCACAGTGAGATCTTCACTGCCAGAAATCAGGGTATATTTTTTAAAAAAGGTAAATTACAGTCCTTACCCTCACCGAGCTTAACATTTAATGTGGGAGATAACATTCAAACAAATACATGTTGAGTTTAAGAAGTCTACTGTAGCTCCAATTTGAGATGTCCAAAAGGCAGTTGGGGATGTAAAATAGGAGGTCCACAGAGAAAATTTTTTTGGGGGGAAGGGAAGGTCTGTTAGGAAATCAATACTGAGGGCAGATTTTAATGTCCTAGAAACTGTGATTGAAAAAAACCACAAAATATAAGTTACAGATTTCAATAGTTTCAAGGAAACTAAATTTGATGGTTAAAATAAACTAATGGAAGGAATGGACCAGATGTTCTCTCTCAAAGACATTTGTAAAATTTTCTACAGCACAAATAATTAATAGTTATATTAACAAAGTAAATTTTAGGTATCATAATAAGAAGAAATAGCTACTTTAAAAGAAAATATGACATTAAAATTATATGAAGTGTAAAAAGTAGTTTATTGAATAATTCTTGGGCCAAAGAAATACCAGATTAATATTAATACACATTTTTGTAGCATAAAAACATTCAAACTATTTGACAGAATTTGAGAAAAATGAGCATTGGAAGAAAGTAACAAAATTCATGGAATAAGCATAAGTAAAGAGGAGGTAAAAATATTTTTCCTTTCAAATGATATGATACTATTTTTAGAAATGCCAAACTACTCAAAGAACAATAAACATAATAAATGCTGTTGAAAAGATAGCTAAACCCACTTTCTTTCAAAATTACCACTTTCTGCCATCACTCACAATAACCAAATTTAATTGCTTGAATGAGAAATATAATTTTCCAGAATAACAAAAGCATATCATATTTTGACATTAAGCTAATGTAAATGGATTACAACTAAAAGTAATTTTACCTAGAAAAGTAAAGAAAATTAATATTTTCTGGCCTATCTACTGCCTAGGAAAACAACATGGTGAAAGTGTCAATAATAGATTATATAATTTATACATTTAATTTGCTACCAATTATAGTACCTTTTTGCTTCTTCATAAAATTTTATTAAGTGAAAAATTCACATGGGGAACAATATCCTAGACATTAAAGAGGATTTTTTTAAAAAGAGGGATTAGAACTTACATATAGATTTTAAAGTCTATTTAAGCTTTAAATTATTAAAAACCATCTAGTTTTATCCTGGTACTATTCTTAAAATAGAAAAAGTAGATCAATTGGGCAGAGGAGATAAACTAAAATTAGCAGCAAAGGAATATATGAGAATATTATTTTCCAAATCCAATAACTGAAAACACTGATGATATTTATTCAATCAAAACTGTTCAACAAATGGTACAGTCCAGTTAAAAAAAATCGTATAATATCTTGATATGCTACATGTGAGGATATCTTTCAACCAGATAATCATCTAAAAGAAGTTATAATAGAAACAATGCTAGATGTGGAGCCAGGGGATCTGGATTCAAACCTTGACTTTATTACTTATATGTGTGACCTTAAGCAAGTCATTTCAATTCTTCTCTGGATGTCAGTTACTTTACGTATAAAATGAAGGGTGCTAAAATGATGGCCTTTTAGGTAACTTCCATTGCTAACTCTAAAATGCTATACATTTTAACATAAAATAAGAAGATAGTTTAAACTATCTATTATAAATATAAATGGGAAATTTATGCCTATTTCACAAATAAAAATATGTCACACAAAATAAATAGATTTAGATATTTAATTTAAAAATAATTCAGAATATAAAGGAAAGAAGTAGACTAGGGAAAAACATATTCATAACTAATTATTCTGAAAATCTGACATTGAAATTGAATGTCAGAATTGACCCAAGTGTATAATACTAAGACCCACTTGCCAAGTAGTCAAATAGAATCTGAATAGGCAGTATAGAGAAAAATATATTGCCTAAAATCTGGTCAAACTATCTACCAATCAGAGAAACATGAATATGAATGAATGTGAGATAGCAACTTTGACCCACATTAAATTTCAAAAGGACAAAATGAAATGTCAATAAAAACCAAGTCAGGTACAGATGTGAATTGGTATGATCTCTTAGAAAGTAATATGGTATCATACAGTAAGAGTTATAAAAATGCCCAGACCTTTGGATCTTATACTATGATTATATATCAAAAATATCATTTATTGGAAAAAATAGTCCCTCTATTACAATTATATTGGGTAAGTAATTTCTCTGTTACAATTATATCCCAACAATACTGCAAATTGGAAAATAAGATCTATGTATAATATTCATAGATTTTTTCTTTAATAATACAAAACTGTTTGCAATGGCTATATCCTTTGGGGCAGAGAAGTGGTACAGTGGATAGAGTGCAGGGACTGGAGTCAGTAAAACTCATATTCTTGAGTTCAAATCTGGCCACTTACTAGCTATGTGACTCTGAACTAGTCATATAACCTCTGTCTCATTTTCCTATCTGTAAAAAGAGCTGGAGAAAGAAATGGCAAAGCACTTCAATATCTTTGCCAAGAAAACCCCAAAAGCAGTTACAAAGAGTTGTTCACAACTGAAACAACTAAACAAACAACAACAATGCCTGAATAAATTATAGCATATGCATATAAGGGGAACTTATTGTGAAATAAAAATCAATGATTAACATTATAAATATGAAGCAACATAGGAAGACATATGAAGTGATATAGAATGAAGAAATAAGAATAAAGAGTATGTGCAGTTAGTTTAACTGTGAAAAATAAAAATCTGCAATTTAAAAAAATACTTTAAAGGGAACATGAGTTCAGAAAACATACAAAGCACTTTTTTTCTTATTGTCTTATTAAAGTGTACATACACATTAAAAAATGTGAACTATAGCATTTGCAGATTCATTTATTACCAGGTTATATTTATTGCTAGAAAACATCTGTTGACTACTTTATTCTAATTTTACTAGACTCTACCATTCATCATAGTATACAGCAAAGGTCACTCTTATTGGGAGGTAACCACCTATGAATCTTTCTTCACTCCTCAACTATCACTTCATCTTTTTTATTTCATTCATATCTTTTTTTTTCATGTAGATAGAGGTAGCAGAATACTGGAAAAATAAAATAAAAATCTAATTCAATACATATAATATCTACTACCTCACTCTCCTTTTATATAGTTTTCATCATTCATCCTCGAAACCTTGAAATGAGTTTCTTTGAAAATCCCATGCCATCTGACAACTCCTTCCTTATATGCCTTCATTGTTATATTATTCCTCCCTTAAACTTCTATTTGTAGCTCAGTTGACTTTTTTTGTTTTTGAACACTTTGTGTCACAATCTGTTCTGAAATCATGGATGGATTTCCCTTCTGTCACTGCCTTGAAACCCCAGGTCAAAGTTCACTTGCTTTATGGAATTTCCTGCATTTAATTTCCTCTGCTCTCCAACATACCCATACCATCCTTCTCACTAATTACTTATTTATAAACTTTTTTTATAAGATAATTATTTATCATGTCTAAGGCTAATGCAAATATTTGTCTTGCTTTTGACTTTAACAAACTCACAGCCCTTCATATTAAAAATATGCCGTTTATGTTTTTCGCAAGGATATAAGTTCAAACTAACAAGAGGATAGATGAGTGTTTTTTTGTCCTGTCCTTGGCTATATCAGGGGCACACTGTAGCCCCAGGGATGAAGATGATGATGATGATGATGATGATAACATTCATATAGTGCTTTAAGGTTTGAAAAGGGCTTATATGTACTTTCATTTTATCCTCACAATCCATTTTACAGATGAGAAAACTGAGGCAGACAGTCACTAAGTGACTTGCCCATGGTCACAGCTTTTAGGTATCTGAGGTCAGATATGAGCTCAAATATTCCTGACTTCACTGTATTCTGTATAGCTGTATCCACTGAACTACCTCACTACCTCAGAGTTCTGGGTTCCTGGAATCTGGCCATCTTAGGAAAAGGGACCTATCTTCAATGTCTATTGATTATTACACAACAAGCTACTTATTTTGGGTTAAAGGGCCCAACCCTAAATTCTGGGAAACTTCAACAGCACATGGGCACCATAATTAGGGAGTAAGTTTTAGGGCAACCTTTATACAATGTAACTTGTCCCTCATATCTGTGAGTGGAGTAGGAACAGCAAAGTCCCATTTTTCCCCCAGAGCAGTGAGGCCCTATGCTTTCCTTATATCCTAATTAGGCAACCCTTTCCCCTATATCCTTAGCCCTATATGCTGAGTAGACAACTACTTCCCCATATGATGAGCACACTACTTCCCCCATATGCTGAATAGGCAACCTCACCACTCTGTGGCAGACCCAATCACCAGACCTTGTGGTCTAGGGACCCTCAGCCCACCCTATCACCAGCAACCTTGTGGTCAAGGAACTTTCCCAAGACCGAGCAAGCACAATGAGACTCCTCAATGCCTGATAGTAACTTATGTGATGTCAAAGTTTCCATTCACATCTTATGAATATGGTAATGAAGGGACTCTTGAGAGTGAAACATGGCTATTTCAAGATAGCCACTCGGATGATCCAGTACAATGCAGGTACAAGTCTTTTTTTGCTTGCATAGCACAAAGATTATGCCATAGCAAATTTCCATAAGTTACTCCGCATTCAGCTCTGATATAAGCAAGTCCCCATTCCCCTTCCACCCAACCAAGTAGTATCCTGAGCTTCTTGGTTCCGTGTGATTTTACAACAATAAAGCCCTGCTTGGAAGGACTCTGGCCTTGGTATTCTTACTGACTCCGAACCAGCTCTCCCACTGCATGAGAATTGGAATGTATTCATATTTCTATGTTCTTAATTTAATTTAACAAACATTTAGTAAAAAGCCTCATATATTCAGAATACTGTACTGTGGTTACATGTGTGTGTGTGTAGTAGGGTGTTTGTATGTAGGTTGGTGTGAGTGTCAGGGGTGGAGAACCTATGGCCTTGAGGCCA